CCCCCCACCAAACCGGCTTTGGCTCAAGTGTTTACACAACATTACACAAAGCCACGTCTTCCCCTATCAGGCAATTAAATAATCTGGCATGACGAAACAAAGGAGTAGCTGCAGACACCCACCCGTGGCAGGAAGTCCTAATGATATGTAATCACGGCGGAATCACAGATTAGTTAGAACGGTCGAATGCTCCCAATCTGCATCATCAGATCAAATCGGATCGCCACGTTGGTCTGTGCACACAGTAGCAAATAGAGACGAGTCTGCTTTCAGCTTTGTTTCATGAAATCGAAAAGGGAAGTTAAATTAGCGCCTACAATATTCCATGCGCAAACAAAAACAGACATCTGACCTAGCAATGACATGTGACAGGAAGAAATCTTCTGATTGGCTTTTGGTCACGATTTTCATCAAAAGTATTCGATCATGGCTTAGAAAATCAAACATGGAAATTAAACATGCTTGATTTTGAAGGATTTGATTACACTGAGCCGCATAGTAAATTTTGCATGACTACCCTCAAATGTATCAAACCATATCAACTTGGGATTCGACGAAACTTTCAAAAAGTGCCCCGTCCGCCCCCACAGATACGTTTGGAAATTCATTCATTGTGCTTTGCGATTGATGAGGCTTGGGATTATAATATTGCTTTCGTTTAGAGCTGTCATTGGGCTTCCATGCCTTGTTTTCCGCTATCACCGACCAAAACAAAATTTAAAAAACAACCTTTCGTTATCGTTGCTTCCACAAAAAGCCCTTTAAAAAACTGCAGCACGCAACGACATGTAAAATCATCTCGTACATGCCAAACAGAAATCAAACCCTGTGATGTCCCCCCTCTTCAGCCATATGCCCCTCCTTCTGAAGCATTCAGATCATTTATCGACAGATCTCCTGTCACACGAGGTGGTTAATCACGCAACGCAGAACTGGTTTTATTAGACATTATTCAGAGAAAATACCCCATCCTCCTCTCAGCCTCCACACCCAACCCCGCGCCCACCCAGGAAGAGGAATCCTTGAGGACTTTATAATTATAGACCCTGGACAAAGAGAGGGGTGGGGGCACATTCAAAATCTGATTCGTTTTGTTCTCGTTATTATTGACGTCACCGACAGTTACTCCGTTTTGGGCTTGTTTTGGTTTTTTGTTTGTTTGTTGTTATTTTTTCTTAACCCATTGTTTAAACATAGATCATAGAGGTGGGCCCCATTAAATAATTATTCATGTACAAATATATCTAACAGCCATGAGCAATCCCTTGATGCAAAAATAACTGTTTTGATTCACAGGTTA